TTCTTAATCTACGCAGCTATTGCAATCTTTAGGGTAGCCTCACATATTGACGAATGCTTCTTCTCATTGGAAGAAGTTCATGATCCAACCCATCAGAAGCAGAGGAGGGCAGAACTTTTGCCCTGAGTTGTCACAGTGGGCTAAACAGAGGGATCTCATGTAGAGGAGCAACCAATATTTTATTAGGCCAATCATGGGGTATTTTCTTGCAAAATTATCATTTTTGTGATTTGGTTTGTACAAAGCCAATGGCTATTGTAATTTTATAAAGTCTATAAATAATTGACATTCAAGGGTTTCAACTGAACCCCATCATTTCCAACTTAATGTGGAGGGATACACAGCCCTTTACCGCAGCACTTCCCCTTTGATCAAAATCGTATCGGGACCCTTTTGTGACTTTTATTGCAGGATAACTCCATTTATTGCTCCATGCCTGTGAAATTGTTTGTTTAGCATTGCCGCAAACGTAGAAAATTCAAGTATTTCTTCACAATCACATTTCTTCTCGAGCCTTCAACTTTGAAGGAGGTCTTTCAGGCACTGTGTAATGGAGACATCTTGATTTATAGGGACCTGATTGGGTTCCCATGCGATTCCCAGTGGAGCTTGTTTCTTTCTCTCTGAGAAGTGGTGAACATTCGAAATTAAAGAGGATGCATCCCCATATGTTTCTCTTTTGTTATGTAGCCTCTTCTGTTCGTTCCCCAATTGGTCGTGGTGGGCTTCCTCTCAAGATGTTCTGCTAGAGGCTCTTTCTTACAAGAGATTCACATGACCCATGGGACGGCCACCAACTTTGCCTCTTGAAAGCCACATTTTTGTTTTATCGTACTCTGCTTTTACATGGATGGAGTGTTAAGAAATCCCTCTCAAGAACTGGAGATGTCTCTGAAGTCTTTGATCTAGACTTGTACTTGTAAAACCTCTCAGGCTCTACAGCACATCTCTCGATCAAAACCCTGTTCCTGAGGTCCTGCTAGACTAAGGGTGTAGTAGGGGAAGATAAAGGGGAGAAAACATGATTTCTATCATAATTAAAAGGGCCGATGCACAATAAAATATACAAAACACTGCGCTCTGGAGAATTAATTTTCTACTTCCTAGAGAACTGTTGCCGTATGCATTTTAAGTTTCAAACTCTGGCTTCCACTCATACATCGAGAGAACATAATGTGGAATGTTGACACACTGTTCCCTCACCGTCAAGATCCAAGAGAAACAGATCAATGCTAGGGAGGACGTTGATCCCGAACCACTTGGAGGAGCTGTAATGGTTAAAACAAAAGAGAGGGGGACCATGCCTGAGGCTAGGACTGCTCAATTATGGAGAGAAAAAAAACTATCATGATTATTTGGATCATAATTGAATTATTTACACAATTACTCATCGACCTTGCAAACGCATTTATTAAACAGAACAGGAGTTCTCCTTAAGACCGATTAAGGCCAATAAAACAAAGTAGAACACAATTTAGTTCAGTGAATGACCAAATAATAATTTTTGACCTGTACGGCGTATTTTACTACACACGTTGAAACATGTTTAAACATAGCCAAATTTCTGGCACTCAAACTCTTAAAGTTTTGTTTACTCAAAAACACTAACTTAGTCTTGTGATCCGGTTTCAGTGGTGAACGCAAGCAGGAGACAATATTTCCACCAGTGCAGTTTCTTCCACTCTTGGTGACAAATATTTCTGTGCCTGCCTTTTTTTCTTCTATCTTAACTTACACTAGTATTTAAATGAATTCAGATGCTGTGTACACTTTTTGAAGGTTTGACGGAGGTTTAGTGTGTGCATTCCAGAATGCTATGGCAGGCCAAAAGGGTCACAAATGCAAATGTGCACCAAAAAGCAGAATCATCATTTTTCCTCAATTACACCAATTATGTGATCGTTGAGACACAAAATAGTAATTGAAATAATTAGCTGCACAGCCCTTAATTAGACATTTGTGTATATGTGGAGGCAGTCACCAAAGGCTTCTTCCTTATTTTTGATGTATTTTATATTCACAAAGCCTTTGAATGTGCACCGGTTCCCACCTATTGGTCCTGACCTGTTTTTACAGTATGGTGCCATTGAGAAACTTAGTAGTAAAGTAGGCACCTTGAATTTGTGCTTATGTTTTTATGTATATGCTCAAGTTAGCTACAGAAAGTTCTCAAAGCTGATGTAATTGTGCTGCTAGTGTTATGATAAGATGCATAAATGCAGTGTTTTTTCACACCACATTTACAAGCACCACTTATTCTCATCTCTACAGTTTTTTTACTATGTTTGTGCTGCATGACAGAATCCTACTCACAAATTCAACGAGCAACAATAGATTATCTTTTTTTGTATTAAATGAAAATGGAACATTTTTACTTTGCAAATCAGTAAACCAGCTCAAAAGCCCATTGTTGGTTCTTGCTGTTGGGAAAGGTCAGGTTCACCCACCAAATTTGAGGAGGACCATCTTAGGCAGATCAACCTGTTAAAGGAACGCTCCACTTTCTTTTCTTCCACAGGTTTATTCTTCATCTCCCTCTGAGATAATAAGTAGTGTCTCATAGCCATTCACCAGATTCGATGAAAGAACTTTTAGTATAAGTTACTGTATATCGGAGAAACCTGAAAGTATAAGTAACCACAAGCTTTACAGAATAATTTTATTACCTACTGTTAAACTCATTCATTGTTTACACTGTAGAACTCCAGGAACTTTTTAAGTTAGTTACGGTTAATGTTGCTACATTAAGCATTTTTATTGATTATTAGCAGCTGGAATACTTTCTTTTTTTGAAAACTGGTTTGTCTCTGCATGTTTACACTGTTTGTCCCCATGTAAACGCAGCATTGTTTTATGTAACCGCACATTTTTTTTAAACGACGGCCAACATGCGTCATTTTGAAAGTGCTCAGAGCAACACTTTGTGAGGACAAAATAAAAAATTTAGCAAAACATGGCTGTACTATTCAGCTACATTGGTAAAATATTTAGATACATTTTAAAATAGAGAAGCTTCAGAATGCATCAGAATAATCCTGTGGGGGTGGGAGGGGGGTGGTTTGATATGAACCATTCCCCCAAATGGGTTTGCTTGCTCTTCAAAAATTCTCTTTTTACCTGATTTAAAAACAGATTCCTGTAGCAAACATTCTCAAGTATCCCAAATGGGTATTCTTTACTTAAGATCCATCTTAAGTAAATGATTGAAATGTTTTTTAGATTTATAAACAAAAGATGGGTGCGGTTTTTTCCTGTTACTTGTTATTCTTTATATAAGTAACAGGACTGAGTTTTTAGCAAAGAATTAGCAAATATGCTAAATAGCCACATGGTGCATTTGATTATAGACCCAGGAAATTCTGCTAATCCAGTTATCAAATGTTTACATTTTCCTGCACTAAACAACTTAAATCTCTGAAATATTTTGAGTAACACAAAGGCATTTTAAGATATCATCACAAAATCATCAAAGATCAATCACTTTGCTCTAACCATGGCCTTCTAAAGATTGAAGTGATGCAATTCTCTGCTAAGAAACATGACCCAAGTGTGTTTATATATGTATTTAACATGACTAAAGTGTGTTATAAATGTATTTGAAAGGTCTTTGGCAATGGCACTCCAAAAGCCTGAAATGCTGTAAAGACTATAACCAGCAGGTGGCAGTATTCAGCATTGAGTTTGCAAAAACACAGCTCTGTTCTGTGATCCAACAGGAAACATAGGGATGTCAGACTCCAGAAAAAACTATAGGGAGGTTTTTACTTCCAAAAAAAACCCTGTTCCCATGTCTACACGAAAACGCAGTTTTAAAAACAATGCGCCTTGGCCTGCATTTTCAGTGGAGTCTCATGATCAGAGGGTATATTAGCTGGGGAGCATGATACTACCGTACTTCCTCTTTCGCCCTGAACTATTAGACGGAGGGGGTATGGAATGAATGAGCAAAAGCTACATTTTATTTATGAAGGTTAAATAAACTCTTTTGAGTTCATCTCATTCTCTGTCCCGAGAGTTGAGATTTCCTCAACAGTCCAGTTTGATGTCTCTATTTGTTTTAGAGTGTGCTACATCATTTACCTACAAGGAGTTTTTAAATTATGTTGCTATATATGACATACAATATCATGCTGTCAAGACCTTATATCCGGTGTTGTAATAAAGTAACTTTGTGGGTGAAACGTGGCATGGAACTTCCTGAGATTTGCGGTCATTTAGATTTTGGGTCGTGTTAGGAGTTTTTGTTCTTCATGACATTTTAAATTGACCTTATTTTGTTATGTGCAAATAGGGTGTGATGCATACAGATACAGTTAAGTGGTATGTTGCAACTCCTGTGCTTGTTGCTTGTTCCTCAGCAAAGCTCCTTTATTAATGACTAATAAAAAGGTAATAAATGTAATTACGACTGTGACAAAAAAAATAGTGAATTACGTTGTTGTGGAGCTGAACACTCAAGTCGTAACTCCTGTGTTATCTGTCTGTCTCTACAGAGAGCAACATTACAGTGTCCCTCACCAGCAACACCTCAGAGATCATGGAAGGCGAGAGTATCCAGCTGACCTGCGTGGTCAGCAACACTCTTGGTCCCCTGTCAGTGACGTGGCAGTGGACGGATAAAGATGGAGCAGGTCCTGCAGTTAATGTGGCGTCTGTGGATCATGAGGGCACGGTCACTCCTGGCCCCACCTTCAGGGAACGCAGCAGTTTCGGGGAGGTCAGAATGGAAAGGCTTCAGCCAGACACGTTCACCTTGGTGCTGTACAATGCGTTTCCCACAGACGAGGGTCAGTACAAGTGCAGTGCCAGTGAGTGGTCTCAAAGTGGAGGCTTGCCCGAGTGGGTGTGGCAGCAGATTGGAGAGGAATCCGCTGTCAAGGCCATCACTGTAAAATCTGTTGGTAAGACCACATAAGATTTCAACTAGTTTTCAGTTTAAATTTACATTTATGCATTTTGGCGACTTACATTTGAATGAACATATTTTTTCTGTCAGTTCTTGCTTTCCCTGGGATTTGAACCCACAACCTATGTGTTGTTAGTGCAATGCTGTACCAACTGAGCCACAGGAAAGCAGTTTGAAGTGGGTTTAACCCACCTGTTACCCTAAAAACACCTTTTTTCAATCTTAAACCTCCAGAATGTGATTTTTAATAATATTTATGTGTGGGGTTTTTGACACCAAGAAAAAAACTTTCAAACAATTTGTTAACTCCTAAGTTTGTAATTTCAAGTATGAAAAGCTGAAATTCACCATGAACATTACTGACTGTGTATCTGTTGGGCTCTGGGACCATTTTTATGACCTAAGAGGCATTAAGTCTACCCTGTCATTCAAGTGGGGACCGGGACCATAATAATTTTCATTATGTATATATTGTATTGTTGTATATATATTTTATTTTTATTTTATGTTGTTGATCAGTGTAATTTTAAGAAGCCCCATTACAATGCTTTAGCAGAATCACAGTATTTTCATGAAACTTTAACAAATCTGTGACTTTCAAAATCTCACCAGGTTTTAACAATAAGCAGAACACCAGAAAGATTCCCAGCGGAGCACATACAGATCAGGAACTGTCTAGTTTTTCCGTTAAAGTAATGTTTACATAAAAGCATAAATATAAAACCAGTTAAGATTTATATTTTTTTAATCCCTTTTCTTGAACTTGTTTCTAGAACAGTAATTCTTTTGGAACATCAAACAAATGTGTGGTTTTTTTTTATTGTTGTATTGTATTTTATTTTCATTTTCATACAAAGAAATTTGAATGAGAATACCATTTTTTGTATTTTATCTATTTGCTTGTAGAGTTATAGCAATAATTGAAATCATAGCTTGGTTTACGTCACAATATGTTTTAATATAAGTACCCATATCGTTTTGTGATTGCAATCGACTTTCTTTTATTATTTAAAACTTTGTCATTAGAGGGATATAATTTTTTTTTTATTTGATTATTATTCTGCATTTTCTTTGTGGTGGAAGCATGGTTGTAGGAATAAGCATCACCTAGTATCTGGTCTTCAACCATCATGCTTGGATGAAGTCACAATGACTAGCTTTTTATATTTTTCCCTCAATTTTTTGTCAGTGCTCTTTTTTTTGGCAAGGACAATTATTTGTACTTCCTTTTCTGTCAGAAAGCGTTTCATCAGCTCTTTTGATTTCCAGCTCAAAGAGTGGCAGCATGATGCTCTTCATGTCAGCTGCTTTGTTCGCTACTGTAAGTACACACTTCTCCAGCTCGGGTGTAGGAGTCTATTTGTTGGAGTAAGAGTGTTCGATGATGTGAAAGTCACTCTTATATGTTTGTGTGTGCACAGAAAGGGTTTGGGCCCTTTACTGTTGGCCTTTGACAGCTGTGTTGGTGGAATGGGTGAAAATAGCCAGTCTGGACTCTGACTGTGAGGAGATTTGTGGTTTTATTCTGCCAAGTGTGTGCGCGTGTACTCATTAGTGCCTGGCAGTGTTGTCAGTTTGTGTACTGAGTGACTGCAGGCCTCCCTGTAGCGCTGGAAACGTTTACCAAGGTTATGCATGACACTACGAGAGAGGGTAGCCCAGAATTCAGACAGAGTTTCTGCTTGCGTTTTTCTGAGTGAGTTTTTTGTTTGTTTGTTTTATTCGTGATGGATGAATAAACATTAACATATTTTAGTTACAAAATAAGTGAAAGAAATAGCAATAAAGAGGTAAAGAAGTGGTAATCAACATTGTCAGAACGTATTGCATCCTGATAAAGCAAGAATATTAGTTTGCTTTCCTGGTTTCTGATTTGATAATCAGGTCTGACTGGAGTTTACATGTGAAAACTTGATTAGATCGCAAACACAGAACTATACACAAAACAGTAAAAGAATAAATGACACTACAGAGTAACCTAAAGTGCAGAAAGACTTTGTTTATTTAAAGACTTTGTAAAAATCCATTTTTCAGCAATTTACAGCCTTCTTATTTATCAAAATTGATATAGATTTCAAATTCAAAGTAAACTTAGATTCTAATATGTGAAACACTGCTGTAGTCCACGGAACGTTGGTTAAACATCTGATGTGTTTTGAACAGTTTTCTGGCAACACTTTGAGAACCCTGAAGTTGCAATCTAATTGGTCTACCTTACGTGGATTTCCAGGAGAAGCAAGTGTCGTGCGCAAAAGTTCTATCCAACATGCATACTGAAAATTAGCGATTATAAAGAATACGGAGTACCCTGTTTAAAAAAGATTCAGGAGTTTTGTGTAAGGCAGTTAAAAGAGACTCAGTTAAAAGAGACGCCATGAAATGAAATGCGATTGGACGCATGGGCCATAGAAACTAGCAATAAATGTCTAGCTCTGCGAGACTACAACGGCTGTCATTGGTATAGATAACACAGATGATATGAGTACAATCCTCAAAGATGTATACTGCGAAATCACAATTGCATGCTCTAACTGAAAACTCATTTGAATTATGAGTAAAGTAGCAAGTTGATTTGGTGTCAGTTGGATGGTTATACGACGGTCTGTTATTTGGGCAGTTGTTTGGTCATCTCTCTGTAATTTCATTGGTTGGTTATTTGGTCTGTACGTTGGTTGGTTGGTTATTTGGCCAGTTGGGCTGCTATTTAGTCGGTTAGATAGTTATTTGGTTTGTTGGTCAGTCAGTTGTTTGGCTGTGCTGTAGGCTAAAAGGTTGGTTGTTGGGTCGCTATGTTATTTGGTCAGTTGGTTGGTTGGTTATTTGGCGGTTGGTTGGTATTTGGTGTGTTGGTTGTTTGTTTGGTCAGTCAGTTGTTTGGCTGGGCTGTGGGTTAAAAGGTTGGTTGGTCTGTCGAGAGTCTGTCGAGAGGTTTAACCTTTTAAACCCGAGAGTCCCTGGTGATTCGTCGGGAATCCTGTCCGTCTCAAAATGGTGGATATCATTGGATTTTACAGATTCAAAGCTTTCCAACGAGGTATAGAGCTCCCGGATTGGACAGACGGTCGAGGGGTGGGCACACAGGGAAGTTACAAGGTTGGAAGCGGCATATATAGCAGCTTACTTATGGCGCATGGAGACAGCATAAAGGGGCGTCAACCCTCCTTTTACAGCATTTCTTTAGGAGTTTTGGACAAGATTTTTTCCATATTTCAATTATTGTGCTAAATTGTGCCAAACTTTGCCAAAATGAAACTTGCTACAGATGTCCTTCACATGTAGATGTTACAATTGATTGTGTTTATTTGCTTGTTTACAAGTAAAATAAGGAGATATTAGAGGAAACATGTAGTTTTTTTTTGGCGGAGTTCATTTTTTGGCCAATTCAACATCATTTACTCCACACCACTCCCCAAGAACCTATCTTCATTTTGATACCAAGATTTGCAGTTTAGACCTTGTAAAAGCTGAGAAATGCCTAATAAAGTGAAGGTATAGGATTTTCAGAAAATAGGCCTTAGGGCTTAAGAGGTTAATTAAAATAAGGTTCCGTTTTATTTTCTTCTGTTTAAACATTGAAACAGATTCAATATCAGGCAATAAATAGTTTTATGCTTTCATTTGAGTTCCTTTAAATATTTTTTTTGTTTAATATTTGTAATCATGCACATAATATGGAAGTATCATGATACTATGTCATGGACAGAGTGTATCATTACACACCAGAGAGAGGTAGTGATCGTGGCATGACCGCCAATTATTTTGTGTCAGCCAGAGATTTAAAACTCTATTTGCACACTGTACATTTTGTACATTTTCTGAGCATTTCTCTGAGCCTGTGGCCATTGATTAGAAATCGAAAACTCTATGGTCGGGTCACATTTGGCTGAAAATGTCAGATTGTGAGAATGCTGTGTGTGTGAGAATCTTGGTGTGTCCATAAAGAATGACTCTCAGCGTGTGTCCACCAGCCATGAACTCTGAAAATGGCATTGATCATGGTTCCCTGCTGCCTGCAGTCAAACTCAGGACAGATAGAAAACACTTTCTTATAGTGGCTTCATGAGAGAGTAAATCACTGGAGGTCCACCAAGACATGAAACATAGTGAACACTCTCATTCTGGTTTCCTTTCATTTCTCTTACTTTTCACCAATTTTTTACATCTGTCTTTGAGGCTCAGTGCTTTTCAGATGCTCAAATTTGTCTTGTATTTTTCAGAATGCAGTCTCTCCAGTTTCAAAACTTCATTTAACTTCGAATGTTCATTTAACCTCTTTTAATGTTGCCAAATCTTTCTCTTAAAAAGGAGCATACTCTTTAATCTCATGTCTTCACTGTCCTATCTGATAAAATAAAAAAGGCATCTGCGAATATAATTGTTGAAAAAAAAATCAATAATTGGTTGTTTTGTTGCTTATTTTTTTGGTCCGTTGGTCGATCAGGCGATTAGTTGGCTGGTTGATTATTTGATCAGTCGGTTATTTGGTTGGTCAATTCGTTATTTGGTCAGTCAATTGGTTATTTGGTCAGTCAATTGGTTATTTGGTCCATTTAATCTGTAAATTTGGTCTGTTGGTTATTTGGTCAGTTGCTTGGTCATCTCTCTGTAATTTGATTGGTCAGTTAGTTAGTTATTTGGTCAGTTGGTTGGTTATTTGGTCTGTTGGTTGGTTGGTTGGTTGGTTGGTTGGTTTGTTGGTCGTTTTTGTTTTTTTTTTTGGGGGGGGGGGGTCAGTCAGTTGGTTGGTTGGATTTTTGGTTGATTGGTTATTTGTCCAGATGGGCTGCTATTTAGTCGGGTTAGATGTTTTTTTGGTTGGTTGGTCAGTCAGTTGTTTCGCTGTGCTATAGGTTAAAAGGTTGATTGTTTGGTCGGTATGTTAATAGGTCTGTCGGTTGGTTGGTTATTTGGCAGTTTGTTGGTTATTTGGTCGGTTGGTTGGGCTGCTATTTAGTTGTATAAACTGGTTAGTCAGTTGTTTGGCGGGGCTGTAGGTTAAAAGGTTGGTTGGTTAGTCTGTCGGTTATTTGGTCGATTGGTTGGTTGGTTGGGCAGCTATTTTGTTGCTTGAGCGGTCATTTAGTTGGTTCGTCGATCAGTTGGTCTGTCGATTATTTGATCAGTTTGACAGTTATTTGGTCAGAAAGTCAGTTGTTTGGCTAGGTTTGT